AATAAGTTGAAAGGCTTGATTTGTCTATTTCTAAAGCAAACCATTAAACAGCCAGTGTCTACAAATATCTCGAGGAGGCGATTCCCAGACATTTCCCCCCACCGACAGAGGAACGATTGAGGACCTGACTGGCATTTCACCCTCTCGGTGATGCTAATCCGGGCCGTTGAAATAGTTAAAGAATTTTCGCTGAAATCTCTATCAGCTCACATACAGCCCACGATCACGGCCGTGCTCGAGGACACACTACTTAGTCCGGTTGCCCTCACAGTAGCCAAAATTTTGGACTGGAACGCAAGATGGCTAAATGGTTGTCTCAATATCACACACGAACGTAGATCTTGATGCTAGTCGCCTTTCAGCTCAAGCGGATCGAGGTTGTTGCATACATAGCTGTTTGAAGTTCCGAGAGCGTTCTATCATCCCAGGACCCCATATCTTCCGAACTAGGCCATACTCACGTAAGTCCGTAACCACTCGCTCCAAGCAAGCACTTTCAAAGCCTCGCCAAATGGCGGCTTTGAGGGCCAGTAAAGGTTTATGCCGGTTCTACCGTACCTTTGGATCCGGTGCCCGACATTGTTGAGCCCCTTCCGCATACATGGCTCGAAACTCCTATGCGCAAATGTGTCCGTACTCGACGGACGTTTGTCATTGTCGATGTTCTCACAGTACCACTCGTTATTGAATTCCTATGGCACCATGAATTGCTGGTCGATTCAAGCAGGCTGCAGTTAATCGATACTTCATCAAACACTAAATTCATGGGTTTTAAAGCTCAAGCAGATGCTTACTGAATTACTGGCTTATTCCGTTTGCGTGATGACATTTTCCTCGCTGTACTTGAAAACTTTCCCCATCCAACTAAACCACTCGAGGAGAAGCTATCGGTGACTCATCATGTGGTACACAACATCATCACCCGCTACCACCAGTCACGGCACCACCTCGCCGACTGGCGCCGGACAAATTTGCTTTCGTTAAACGTGAGTTTGACAATTTACTAGCTACTGGTATTATTCTTCCTTCTCACAGTCTCTGGTCCGCACCTCTGCACATAGTTCGCAAGACGGATGGGGTTAGTTGGTGACCATGTGGCGACTACCGAGCATTAAACGTAGTAGCACGTTTTGATAGCTATCCCATCGCCCACATACGTGACATCACGGCATCAATCAAGGGCACGACTATCTATTCTAAGATTGATCTGGTACGAGCATATCATCAGATCCTAGTCGCTCTTGAGGATATAGCGAAAACTGCTATCACGACTCCTTTTGGTCCGTTTCAGTTCCTACGAATGCCATTTGGAGTCTGGAATGCTGCTAAAACTTTCCAAAGGTTTATCGATAGCATAGTACGAGACTTTGATTTTGTTCTCGCCTCATCACCAAATGTAGATGAACACTGTCGGCATCTAAAACTCTTATTCCAACGCCATTCGGATAACGGAATAATAGTCATTCCGAATATGTGTGAACCTGGCAAACAGGAATTAAAATTCTTGGACCACCCTATTAGTCAAGGAGGTACCTTACCTTGAGTGGAAAAAGTAAGTACAATCATGAAGTACACTGTACTGTCTTCATTCAAAGAACCGAAGGCACTCCTCGGTTTGGTTAACTCCTGCTGATGTTTCATCCTACATGCGGCAGAACGGTTATAACTATTAACCGACGGACCTCGAGGCAATCCCCGCAAATTAGAACCGGATGATAACGCGTTTACTGCATTCTCAGAGATCAAAAAAGCTTTGGCTTCAGCCACCCTTTTTGCTCATCCTGACACATATGCCACACTTATTACAGCAGTCGGTGCCATGGGAGCCGTTATGCAATAGAACATATCCGGAAGTTGACAGTCCTTCGAATATTTTGCTCAAAAACTGCTGGCAGCCTAATGTGCCATCAAACATTTCAGGCACGCAGTAGAAGGTCGCGACTTTATTCTCTTTACCGACCATAAACCTCTAACGTATGCTCTGCATACCAAGTCTGACCGCTACTCACAACGATAGTCCAGACATCTGAACTTTGTTTCTCATTTTACGACAGACCTTCTCCATATTAAAGGCGAGTCGAACTATGTTGCCGACGCTCTTCCACGTATTCAGATAAATACGGTTACTTTACCGTTGCGTGATCTCCCTTCTCTTACTGCCGCCCAAGCAAGCTATTTCTTTTTGTACGGAAGCACTATAATAATAATAATATTTGTTCTCAAATAGAGGTACGACACAAGAGGTAAGCCAGTTTACAAGTAGATCAAATTGGCACTAATGTTTACACATTTACTGCAAAAGTTATCGCAGTTAAATTAGGTATATGAGTCAGTTTCTGAAAGCACATTTACACTATGTCACTGACAGGAACAGCTTGAAACATCTCCTCAGTGACAGGAGGTACCCCAGCTACTGGCTCGGGCAGTATTCTGTATGATATCTCTACTGCTATTCTCTGGCCCAGAGTAACCTCAGCTTACTGTGGTCTCGTTTTCGATACCCTTCATGGACTATCTCGTCCATGTATCACAGCCACACTATGTCTCATCGCCGCACGATGCATCTGGTCGTCCTTGAATCAAGATGTCCGTATGTGGATGAATCAGTGCTCACAATGTCAACGTAGCTGCATGTAGTTGCTGCTATTGATGCGCTTTCCACGCCTGATTCTGGGTTCGATCATATTCTTATAGGCATTTTGAGACCATTGGCACCATCGCACGGGTTCGGTCACATACTCACGTGAATCGATAGTTTCCCTAGTTGACATGAAGATCACTTCTATTACGGTGGAAACAGTTGCTCACCGCTTCATAGATCGATGGATAGCTCTGTACGGTTGTCCCTCAACTGTCACAACTGACATAGGACAGCACTCCGAGTCTGATTTATTCCCCCACTTAAAAGTGAAAACAGCAGTTTGTACGAAAACTTATAACTTGTCCTCTCAGGTATCAAAACGAGCCTAAAGGCATATATTCAATGATTCGCCCCCGAACTTGTATACGGCACGACAGTGCTTCTGCCCGAGAAATTTTTCACACCACACAGCTGTAATAATTTTTAGTAAGTGATACTGTTTCCAAAACATGTGAACACAGCATCCAGTGTCACCCTGAGCACAGCGTCAGAAGGTCGCTCTCCCTCGAAAGTTATCTACCTGTTTATATGTTTTCATACGAGTAGATTCGTTGAGCAAACCTTTGCAACGGACCTACGAAAGACTTTGTCACGTGAATTCTCGTCATAGAAAGACCTTCAAAGTTGTTCAATATGGTCGTGTTGAGATAGCCGGCACACGTTGATGACAGTGTCTTACTTGATACTTGGGGACCAAATGCTAGACCCGCCCAACTCACTATCGGGATCCCTAGTTCTACTTTAGATCCCACGTAAAGGACATCAGAGACCTCATTTTCATGTCCCAGTCATCAGCACGCGTCACCAAACTCGGATGATATTCCGTTCTCACGCCCACATCATCAGACCATGCCACTCTTGGCTTCGAATGAGATTGGAGGCTCACGAAGTACGTACGAGACTACAGTCTCACGTTCCGGTCACCGCGTACATCTACCTGTACGCTTTCACGACTAATCCCTCAATCAACAACGGATACGATATTCGACCTTATAACTATATTACATGCATACTACACCTATCTATTTTTCTTTCATTTTTTATCCTGAGCCCACGAATTGACCATCGGCCAGTTGGTACCGTCGACTACAATCAAACTTGGCGAATGCTGGCCTGATCACCCACACTCTTGTCAATTCACTCAAATGATGTTCCGGTTTTAGCTACGTCGGGCATACGTATGGTCCCAAACTTGGTTACTTCGGCCGCTTCTGGTTTCTTGGTTCTATATGGTCTCGTCCTACATCTGCAACGTTTTTGGCCCTTACTCCGCACGAGTGCAATCTTCCGATCCACACCACTCCTTTGTGATATGCTAGTTCGAGCAACAAATATGGCACGTTACCCCTAGTACCTTTCTTCATAAAAGTCCTCTAGTGACAACTCGGGCATAATCGATCGCTTCCTGTTCGTTAACCCTCCCTCCCTACAATCGTACGTTTGTTGAACGAAACCAGAACGTATTGAAAGTGTAGCCCCCCTCTGAAGGGGGCTCATGTAGTGGTTTACTTGGTTGAAGAGAACGCGATTGGTGTAAGAGAAATATTTATCATTATAACCAATCCTACCAGTGGTTGTTTTACTGCACCTCTTTGGTTAACTGTACTAAAAACATTCATCTTCCTCTTAATGTGTCGAGCTTGCTCACTCTCACTTTGTAGTCTCGTCTGTAAAATTTGGCCCGATCTTGATACATCGATATCCGCGTCTGGAGGGATTTAACTTGGACATTGGTAATATATATTCTCAGCTCCCAAAACGTTAGTGAAGTCCAAAAATTTCAAATAGGTAAACTCCTAGATCTACAAGTTAACAAGTTATATTCTAACTGTTATACTGATAGCCAGGAAACGACTTTAAGACATGAAGATGCCACAGAAAGGACAAAATACTACCACACTGTAATCAAGATATCCTAATGTCTATAACTCGAAAGTAAGTAAAGAAGACAGTAGGGCTAGATGAAAATAGTGCATTCGACAGAAATGATCTAATTTTCCTGATTTTTAAATCAAAACTAATGGAGACAGTCACGAGTGCGTAAGCTCATAGTCGAAAAATTTTCGTCGAACCTCTTGTACCAAAGGAGAATTACAGTAACAGCTACGAAAATTTGTAAACGTGAAGTTTGATGTATTGTGAACAACTCAACAAATTTGATCCATTAAAACCACACAGGAAAAAATAGCTAAGCCAAACCTTGTGCTCTTCAACCATTTTTCCAGATGAAAATTCTATCAGCAGGAACACTTAAGAAGACCAGGTCATTAAAGATACGTCATTTATGAAGGTTGACCCGAACCTTTTAGTCTTTTTACCTGACTAAACCTGAAGTGCCTAACGAGTTTGAGTATCACTACTATAACAACCCTATGGCGGAAATTCCACGTGAGGTGCTACGTTGGCTTCTCTCATTGGATATTAATTTCGAACACAAAAACCCAAAATGGTTGGCATAAAATATGTTTGTAGTAAAGTGACAAATAGGTGTGTTTCCAATGGCATTATAGTGGCTGAAATTTTGCATAATTACCAACCGAGAATGGTGAATCTTGCGAAATTTATCGATGGACAAAGTATAAAAGTCAAACTAAAAAATTGGGATATGATCCAAAAGGTTTCTTAATAACATTTATTTGACTGCCTTAGATACTTCAAAGTTTGGGCATTTATTTGCCACCAGATATCATTGAGTGTGCAGCGCATAACAAAAGCAATGCAGGGATTATTCTTTTGACTATTCTTTACGAAATATTTTCAAAAAAGAAGTATGATGTTCATATTGTTGTTGTCGAACTTTAGAATGAAAGAAATCTCAAAACCTTTAGATCCCACAGATTTAGAATACCAATTTTCCCTACCCGTGTATGCGAGATCATGTCTAGCAAAGTTCATCAAAGATAACTTAACCTCCTCAGAGATGGAGACCACACCAGACATATTTACTAACCGAAAGAAAGTACAACTTGTTTTACATCTGTTTCAATATTTTTCATAGGTTCAACTGTTGGCATTAGCTTACAAAAGTATGAAAATTACTGAGAGAATAGAAGAACCAAGGAGATTTAGAGTATTCCGGTCATTAGCATCACAGTGTCATAGGTCAGACTTATCAAAACCAAGTAAAAAAATGCGTACTAACAAGGCAAGCGCCATGATGTGTAGTGAGTCCATTGATGGTAGGTGCCGTTTACATTTTATTTCCCATGTCAGTCATAGAAATGTTGAACTATCTAGTTTTTTGTATATTTACCTTGCGAAAGATGTTAAAGGTGACGAGGCGCTGAAACTCATTCAAGTAGGGAACCAAAATGATCCCGCTTTCTTGATAGACAGAAAACAAAAATTCAGATTGTTTCTTAATGGACAATGGAACAGATGCGCAACAATTTTCTTCAGTTTTCTCCTTCGTTTATGATTCATTCTACTATCGACCACAGTTCTTGGCCAAATAAATCTTACGCAAAACAGTGCCCATGACTGTGAAGTTAAATAATTTACTTAAGTTAAGTAAATAAAATAACCCTGTCCCATATTGTACTTCAACAAAGTATTTCTGGCTACTTTTTAGGCATCCTCCAACACGGCATATTAGTTCGGTTAGAAGACTTGTACTTAACTTCTTGTTGCATTTTGTAAACTAACATAAATTGTGAATGGCTTCCACTTTGGGAATTAGATTTCTAACCCAGTTGTTTGTAGTCTCAATAAATGCATACTGTCATCTGGTAGCTAAACGAAATGTAGCTCAAGGCCGACTACATAATCATACTTCTAGTGAGTTACATTAGTAGCGAATGAGTCCGTTCCCGACCGTAGCTGCTACCTTGACGTAGTGGTCGAGCTTGCCTATCGTGACGACCCAGCCGATCTATACTGGCTGGAACATATGTTCCTGAAGGTTCTACCATGCCAGGCAGGTCGATTGGAGAACGATGAGACTAAAAGCAGCTACCCAAGGTCTGAGGGCGAAGTCGTGCTGCTGACTGCAGAGGGGTGTGACGGCAGTAAGGTATGTCCCTCAGACAACCAGCATTTGCAGCGATGCTGCCTTCTCACAAGGAAGGAAGGGTTAGAAAAGGTCGACCCTAAAAATGTCACACCTCACCCTACCTCACGGATTTCCGTCTCCGGCGGTAGAGGTGTCCACTAAGGGCTTTTAAGAGCGGGGCTAATACTCAAAAAGCCTTTCATCAAAAGGCCGTGCGTGACCGGCTTCAATCGGTTGTCCCCTGGGCTCTGCGGTCACGCACCCAGGTTTCTAAGACCAACACTAATCTACCTTCCTTTTCAGATCCCTCAAGAAACAACTTTCGACCGGGACGTGGCTATATAGACCACATCTTCACACTACGACAGGTCCTGGAACACAGACACACATTTAGGCGTCCTACAATAGTCGTCTTCCTGGACCTTTAGGCGGCATTCGACTCTGTGGATCGTGAGGTTCTGTGGCAGTCTGTCATTGAGAGGTGTACCAAAGAAGTACATTAACCTCATACAAGCTCTGTACTCGAACACCACTGGTCGAGTGAGAGCTTATGGCGAACTGTCACCGAAATTCTTCACTTCAAATGGTGTCCGTCAGGGATGTCCACTCTCTCCATTCTTGTTTAATTTTATCATAGACATGCTCCTAGATATAGCCTTATCCTCGTCTGAATTTTCAGGAGTAAACCTATTAACAGGAGGCTCGCTTATCGACTTAGAATATACCGATGACATAGTCCTACTTGGTGAAGACGCTGACAGAATGCAGTCTTCTGACCACCCTAAGCAACAATGCAAGCATGTTCGGGATGCGGTTTTTCCCTTCGAAATGCAAAGTGTTGCTTCAAGATTGGGTTACATCGGCATCTGAACTAGTGATAGGGAGTGAAGTAGTCGAACGTGTAGACCGCTTCACTTATCTGTGGAGTCTCACCAGTGCTGATGGCCTGGTGAATGACGAAATCTCAGCTCGGATACAGAAGGGTTGATTGGCTTTTGCCAACCTGCATCACTTATGGCGCAGGCGAGATATCCGATTTTTAACCAAAGGACGAGTGTACTGCGCAACAGTTCGCTCTGTCCTACTATACGGATGCGAAACATGGCCGTTAAGAGTAGAGGACATTCGTAGGTTACTAGTCTTCGATCATACGTGTGTCTGAAGCATTTCTCGTGTATCCTGGGACGACCGAGTAAGCATTGCTCTCGTAAGGAAACCAATTCTGGGTAAGGATGGCAAATCAATAGATGAAGCAATGAAACTTCATCAGTTGAGGTGGTTGGGACATGTGTTACGTATGCCTAACCACCGACTGCCGCGAGGAGCTGTTTTGTGGTGTCGGAGTAGGTTGGAAGAAGGTTAGGGGCGGCCAGACCAAAACATGGCAGAAACCCATGAAGTCACTGACAAGTGGACTGAGTCATGTTGGTAGATGTAGGCTATCTGGTTGGGGTCTGCGAGACGAAAGTCACCAATGGTTAGAGACCTTGAACGACATGGCTCAGAATCGTTTGCAATGGCGCAGGTGCATCCACTCTTTGTGTGCTTTTTAATTCTAACCTTCTGAATTCCTCATAATCTCTTTCTCCTTCTAAATTTATCTCACTGAATTATACTTTTCGAATCATGTCTTTGCTCCCTACTCTTCTCCATTGCTGCTAATAATTCTACTATTGCTATCACTCTTGGATTTTGACTGACAGTTACGTCTCTGTGTTGACGTGGTATGGCAACCTGAACTGATGTACTTATGTACGAAGTTCTGCGTCATATCTGTCTGAGTCCTTTCTATTCAAGTCATGATTCACAGTTGTTCGGAGTAAGATATACATGGTCAATAGTCACGATATACACAACTCATCAGTGAAACTGGAATCACCAAACTATAAATTACCAGTCTTAGGTTACTGTACCCATTATGAGACCGAGAGGCTGTCTGAAAACTCGCATCACCAAAGGTATCCACTTCGAGGAAACCTCAAATAATTTAGCTTATTTTAGTCCGTTGTGTAAATGAAATCTAAATTCAAGCCTCTACAAAACGCTTACCTCGCTCATTATATACTATCTTATTGAAGTGAATTGGATAACCATAATGCAAAACTTATGCATTGGGAGATGTGACTAGATGTTTCACTTGAATACGCATAAAAGATGCAGATCAACCTGATACCCAAGAGATAAATGATAGTATAGTAAACGAGACTAAGTCTATTAATAGCCGTTATTTGATCGAATATTCCTGCGGCAAAAGGATCGTAGGAACCATCTGAGTTAAGTAATCGACTCTACAGTTCTAAAAAATTATTTATAACTGCTTTAAAATCTTATCCTGATAGTTTGAATAAGTGATAAACGAGTTCACTAATTACACCGGTCTATTTAGCATCAGAAGTAATAGCACTCGTGATTGATGATCTTTATGCGTAGATTTTCGCTCCATAGAACTATATTTCACATAGCTTGTGTAGTGATGTTTAAGTTAATGAAGTCTAAAGTAAATGGGAATATAGAGTCGCTTCCTTTCAATATCTCTCTCCCTCCAGATGCAAAATTACTCCTCATTTACTAGCATTTCATCTTTGAAGAGTTGAGACCACCGACTAAATAATACCTGGGTTAGAATTGCAAATCAACTGGATGTAGTCTATTTAGCAGGCGTCTGCATGATTATCTTAACCAGTGGTTAGAGACTTTGGATGACATGGCTTACGATTGTTTACGACGACTCAGGTGCACCGATATTTTGTTTTTCCTGAATTCTAGGCTTACAAGTCCCTCTTAATTTTCCTCTGATTTGTATATTCTCGAAATACATATTTGATCCCTAATGCTGTTAATTACTACCGATAGTGTTACCACTTCAACTACTCTGGGATACGGCCTGATAGTTTCATATCTTTGGTCATGACAACTTGAACTGACTTACATGAGGTTTTACAGTACTAAATATTACAGGCGGAACCACATTTGAACTAATGACATAGTATTATATCAAGTTGTTAAGCGTTTACGAATACTGACAAGGCAAAACAACAAGAATAAAGGTACTACATGAAATAGAAAGTACTATCAAATGTGGATCGACTAAACACAGGATATTTCAGAGATAAAGATGTCAGTTTGATGAATGTTAAGCACATTTATTTGTCACTAGTATCGCCAACGATATGTTCCAAGCTTTGGGTTCAGAACTCTAGAGAGTAATCAAGAACTACAATTCGATCGCAACTTCACGATGCCAAATTACATACTCTTTAGGAAATGAATTTGATTTTAGGATAATCATAGATGTCTATGCGACTACTTTTAAAACTGCTTAATTTTGCATATCCTTTGAATATACACAATAAATGTTTGTCTATTCTTTTTTAGAAACACCATTCAACGATAACGTTATGACGATCCAACCGAAGCAACAAACAGTTTATGAGTAAACCTGATGTGAACTCGTAAATCAAATTAGTGTAGTTATTATGACCTTTCCTTACATTTATTTCTACTATTCTTTGAATTTTACTGTCCTATTTCCCATGCCGTAGAAAATATATTCAAGTCACGAGCGAGCTGAATCTTCAAAATATTTAATTGCATAAAATTTAAGGTGCAAAAAGCTCATTTCTGGTTGTAATTCAGGCTCGTAAAATCCTCCAAAGCGAGACACTATCCACTCACGTGTGAACTCTATACGTTGGGTTTTACTACTAATGACAAGACAGTGGATCTTGAAACCGTTCACATTCCTGGTATTTACAGTAGACGAATATATGTATATATAAATCCTGACCTGATCAATGTATGTCGTTATTCATACAAAACAACCCACCAAAAGGTAATAAATGTCATGTAATAGGGAATCGCAATGACCCATTATATTCTTTTTAAATATATAACTTCTTCACAATAATAAGTACTCGCTTTTATCTTCACCGTCAAAAACTCGCTCGAAGAGCCTTCACTATAATTATCTAGACGCGGTGGTTTTTCCGACAGGATTAAAACTAACGCTAGCGCTTTAGAAATTAGCTATATAGTACAGACAAATCGACAGAACACTGGGACTTGAGTCAATAAGGCAACATGATGTGCCACAAACACCTCGGACAAGTCCACAAAAACGACGAAACTAAAGATTCTAGATAATAGTATCTAGTTCTAAAGAACTAAACGATAACATAAAACCAGAGCGACGCTTAGGGACACAATCCCATCAGCAAAGATACCATGTGCAGCTGAGATACATGGACTATTCATCTCACTTACTACATGTGACCAGGTTTAATCCGAGTTCCATAACAGACTTCAAAACATAGTTCAAACACTAATCGTGTGCGTACAGCCTTATGAATAGGAATATTTTATAGCCAACAAGTTCCAACTGAAAACTATACACCCCATTTAGGGCAACTGTTCAAATTTTGGTATTCTCGCCAAAACCTGCGACTACGTAAAGTACTGTGTTGACTGGACTAAACAGAACAATAACACTATGATTTACAAGTCTTGAAGCAGAATTTCATGACTAACCATGCAGGTGATCAATAAGACTCGGCCAGCAGTTTTTCCAGTGCCAGCGTCATATTTTCCTAGTCTAAAGTGACACACTAGAAAACGGTAGAGCAAATTAGTTGGACCCACTGGTCAGAACACTGCAAACATTTAAGTCTAATATTATAACCATTACAATTTGAAGTGGAACCACGCCAGTGCTCACCGCGACTGAATCGACCATCGATGACAATGCTAATCCTGAATACTCAAAACCCAGTAGAAGTTTTGGGAGCAGTTCAGCAAAAATATACAGGCACAAACACGAATGACATTACCTTTTGGAAGTATTCAGGGCAAAAAGTTGCGGGGTGCACCGAAAATGATGTATACAGTTACCAGATACTACCAGGTATCTGAACACGAATGAATGGGTCAACCACAAAATCCTAGTGTAGGGCACCAAGCACAGGAACTGCAATAAATCCTAATTTCTGATCATCCTACGGTACTAAGTGCGCCAACCTCACGTAAGTGGATGAACGCCTCGTACTGAGACCAGGAGAATACTAGGAGAAGCTGCACTTATGTACACGTAACTGTCTTCTGAGCGGAAATATGATGACTACATTACGATCATGGGAAGAACCATTTATGTCAGCCAGGATTAGATTGTGATAGCTGAGTACAAAAACGGTTCAAACAGGAAGGCTCTAGGAGCGCAAACACCATATACTCTAGCAATTGTCAACTGGACGTTCGCAATATAAATATAAGGACACTCGGCATATGGATCGTTTACGCCGGGAATGATTTACGTACAAAGAACCCGACCAGGTTAGTACGAGGATCATTTGTCACCTCTGGTCATTGAAGCCCTATTTTGGGTTAGAACCCAAAACTATTAAATGCCGGGGTAGGGCAAAGAACGATACAAATTACTGCTTACGTGGCAAACTTATTTATATTGAACAAGGAAAAATAGTACCTGCAACTTTAAAAATCTAAAGCCATTGAAAATGACTCATGATTCGCAAATACGTTTATTATGGTAAAGTTTTACTTTACAACAGGCAAAACCGCACGGATGTTCTTCGCATGAGCGACGTTCTGTAAGAAAAGTCGTAAACGCAATCAAAATACATACCATGCTTTGCAACATTTCCTGTGCTACAGGGTCGATTTCAAAGGCCATAGTATCAAATATTGAAACTTCAGGTTGATAGTTGTCTCTTCGCTCTCTCTCTTCTTCTTGTAGCTTAATACTGATTCCACGTACAGGACCCGCTTCGAAACGTTTCATCAAATGCGTCACATAACCTGCGATCATGTTTCGCAATCTTTTCGATCCTATACATGCTATGTCTTGGCACACTTTTTTGTTGGTATGAAAATCTCTGGTCAACTTCGAGTAGAACCTTTCGATGATAAACCTCGAAGCCTTTTTCACTGTCTTAGTCCTGACTCGACCCTAAAACTTCACAATGACCACAGACTGGAAACCTACCATGACGGCTGGTAAATTGAGCTGCGCGGCTACTGTTTATTCCGTCAAACAAGCCAATCATGTAATTGTTGCCCAACAGTCTGAAACAATAATTTGACACTGGAATATGATACTGATTCAATTTTGCTTGATGAGTTTTCCAGTTCATCATAGACGCTATTGTAGAAAAACAATGCTTGTTACCATGTCCCTTACCCAGACGCAACTCCACAGTAGTTGGAAGGATGTTTCTATTAACCCCACATTTAACTATGACAAGAGACAAAATGTGGACAACAATCAACCCGACAGTCTAATCGGAATAGTAATTAAGTTACTTGAAGGAATAATTCAGACTAAGGTACTGAGTTATGTAGGAGTATATAATATGTTAACTCCTGAAAAACACAGGTTTCGGAATAAGAACTCATGCCTAATGAACTTACTAATTGTGGGAGAGTTTTGGACAGCCTCTCAAGATAATGACTTGTCTGCTGACGTAACATTTATAGATTTCAGCAAAGCATTCGATTTCTTATTTGAGGCTGTTTTAGAAGTTGTTGAAGCAGCTTGGAATGAAATCCAACTGGCTGTTAACGTAGCAGTGATGTTTTTCAGTATGGTATGGTCCAGGAAGAAACAGTAGACTTCTGTGGCACCTACCAAACTGATAGATGCTCGGAAACTCACCTTGTCTGGCTCTGAACATGATGAGGGTCGGAGTCAGCCTAAGCGTAGGAAGCCTAGGCAGTGACAGCGAACACCGAAGGGTAGTGAAAGCAAGATAGATAAAGAACGCAGCGCTCATAAGTAACAATATACAACTATTGAGGCTTATGAAGGTGTAGTTACTCCATTTATATGAAAAGGACACTATTGGTTTGATCAAAACATTGATTATTATAACCGATTTTACCAATATTATTTAGCATGATCTCGGTGTTCTTTCGATACCACAAAGTAGCCTACAAATAAACATTCACTTCTGGATCCTACCGCCTTCACTGTTTTGGTTTCACGGACCAATGTACCTAGTAACTGGAAAATAACTGGTCTGTGGTGGTGACCATAGACATCCATGACTCGCGCTACTACACAGGAAACCGGTATTAGGAATCTGACTGCTGGTGAGACTATCTTGGAAACAAATTAGACCATTACTCATTCTCAGCCTAGAAGATCAAAAGGTAGAACAATTTAGGGAGCAGTTCAATTGGCCTTAAACCACTCTTCGGTTACTTACGATCTCCAGTTAACCTGAATAGAAAATTCATGTAAATACTACAACTTCTAATGAAGTTAAAAAGGCTAAAGGAGACTTAAGGACAGAGAAATCAGCAAGCCTTGAGAGGCCTGTTTTAGCGTTGACACTGATTAATATGTTTGGCAGAGTCTGGGAACTTACGAGTGGTCTCAATCACGAACTGCCCCGATCTATATGAAAGAACAAAGGTCCTCTCGTGGCGATCACGGAAAAATCATTTTAGATAATATAGTATCTAAAATGTTGGCCGTGCTCATCAATTTCGCTGCCCAAATATGTACAGATACTATCATCTTCCAAAGCTTCATAGTCAAGTGCGATTTGGATGGTGCATGTTGTGTTGTATCGGAGAATCTTGTTTTTCCCTTTGTGTATGTCGAGACTTGCCTCTGCTACACTAGTCGTCTTCCCCTGTATTTTGTTGTGTGTGTGATAGAGGATGTTGACGTCTTCATAATCCAGTCGATCACCAGGAGAAAGAGAAAGGCTGATAGTAAGCAACCTTGCTTGACACCAGTCTTCACCTTCAACAAGTCTGTCACCTGCCCTCCGTACATGAGTTTGCGGTCTAATCTATCATAAGAATTTTGTATGATGTTGAATATCTTCCCAGACACGCCAAAGAGTCGAGGGAGCCTCCATAGTGTTGTTCTATCCGAATTATCGAACGCTTCCTTGTAGTCAGTGACGATGGTGTGGATTGATGAATTTCACTGAATTAGTTGTTCCACATTGAGCCGTAATGTTTTGTCAGCACACGATCGATCCTTACGAAATCCAGCCTGTTTTACCCGAAGCTGAGACTCTATGGAGTGCGACATTCTGATTGACAACACGCTGTCGAAGACTTTCCCTGGTAGTGACAGAACAGTATTGTGTCTGTAGTTCTCACACTTACTGCGATAACCTTTCTTTAGTATTTCGATCAGGTGTTTTTTTTCCAGTCTGTTGGTGCCCATTCCTCATCCCAAAGGTTGCTGAAGACGATGTAGAGAATCTTCGCAGTTACTGCTACGAATACTTCCGGTACCTTAGCTGGAATGTTGTCTGATCCGGCTGCTTCTCCGCTCTCCATTTGTCTGATAACCATACTGATCTCTTCAAATGTTAGCCTGCCAACACTGATTAAGAGGTCCAGTGGTGCGGCTTCGATGTTCGATTCAAGAATTTCATAAATTATTCAACCAATTCGTTTCGCTGTTCTTAAGCGATCGTGACTGATTTGGTTTCCTTGCTTTTCACTGGTAATTCCGGTTTACGATCATTTCCAGAAAGCCCATTTGTTGTATCATACAGTGGCCTCAAGTTTCCTTCTCTAACAGGCTCTTCC